TTATGGTGGGAATCTGTAGAGAAGGGATTCATTCCTTCAGTCTTTCACCTGTAAATAGTCCTCAGATAGTCATGCACATTACAGGCTTTTGTTTGGGTTGGATGAAAATGTAAAGTGTCTGTTTTAGGACTCATGGCACTGTCAAGAGATATAGCAAAGTCTTTTTCTTTAAGTCTTCAAATTTATGAATCCACTATAGCATGGTACACACTGAGAAGAGGATGTGACGTAGACCAGATTAAAGGTCCTTTGAGAGGAGACTGGCCAGTTGACTGGAGTCACTGTTACTAAAATGACTTATTTTTAACTTCTAAAGGCTAGTACACAGAATGATTGGTTTCATTATGATGTTTTATATCATGATTTGCTTTTACAACCTTGTAGTATTTAATTCAACTTTGAGTTAGAGCAAGATTACAGATTTCTTCCATGTGATGGATGTTTGGGTTGTATATAAAAAGTAAAGTTGGTGAGCTTTATTTTTGCATTGCTGGAGACTAGTCCTAGTAGCCTGCAAGTGTTCTACCACTGAGCAGTGTCCTTTGGGGTTACTCAGGTGGTGGTGCATTCACCAGAGCCCAGGTAGGCCTTGAACTTGGATTTTATCTGATTTGGTGAGTAGTAGCTGGGATTATACATCTATACTTGCAAGCAAGGCTAAATCTTCAGATCTTAAGTAGGTAAATATCAAGAGTGCTCTATAAAGTGTCTGGCAAATAAAAAGATGACCTTATTCAAACTTATCTAGGACTTAAGAGTAGATGTGCTCTCAGCCTTCTACGTTACAGGTGAAATTTCCAGGTAAAGCACTGTGGCATGATCATTTGGTTGCTAAATGGTGTGCTGTGTGTCTGTTCTGCCTTGAAGACATCTTTGATAGTGATATCTCTCAATCCTGGTTTTTGTTACCACTAAGTCTTAGGAGTTCTCTCTCTTAAAGGAGTTCAATCTGCAAAGCAGATTGTCCGTGTTTGTGTCACTTTTTAACTGTTGTTTTACAATATGAGTCATATGCCTTAGTTATTGCCACTCCTTGTGCCAAGATGAAGGTGCTGTTTTCCCCATCCTGACTTGTACACAGCTTTCTCCCTACAGCCTATGCTCCTGTGGGTTTTTTTGCATGCCTACATTTTCCACCTTGTACCTTTATACTTCTGTAATTTCTAAATCTCTGTGGCTTGTGTTTTAAATTTCTACAAACCTGTATGTTTCTCTGCCTGAGTTTTCTTTTTGTCCTGTCTACCACTTCATCCAGAAAAATGCCTTCTTGAATACCTTAATTATCCCTGCCTCCAATGATTGGATGTTTCATGATATATCACTATTATAACCTGATTTATAGTGAATTGGCTTGTGAACTTACCTTTCCAGGCAGACTGTGAGAACAGTGCATATTGTCAACATAAAACAAGAAAATCTATGAAGTGAAATGTAGTTGGTTCCTTTCTAAGGACATGTAGGGCATCCTCAGTGGACTCCACTGGTCCTTAGCAGACTGCTCACACTGGCATACTCCAAGAATGATATATACAACAAGCCTAAGTGGATCATGTCTTCATTCATGTATTCAGTTTTGTCCTTTGTTTGTCATAGCGGTCACACCAAGCCATACCTTATATCAATCACTGCCATGGGTTGGCATCAGAATCAGGCTCATGTTATTAGGTAGGGCACCATTAGGTAAATGAAGTTTGTATTAATTCTCCAAAGAGAAAATGGTTGGATGGGAAAATAAATGTTGGCTCACTTGTAGTAGGCATGCTATCATAGTCTGTTGTAGTACAAGTTGAGAATCTCATTCCTCTCACCCCTTCCAGGTGTTAGTGCGCTGTGTTAGGTACGTACGTAAGAATGATTAGCAAGCCTTCCTCATCAAGGTCCTGTACACTTCTAGAATTCAGAATACTTTTAAAATAAACTTTTAAAATTTGGTTTATAATTATGATTTCATAGTGTAATTCTTTTAAAGTGTGTGCCTAATAAAAAAGTAATGTAGTCTTGAAAAAGATGTATAACGTAGCTGACTGAGTATAAACATCAACACCAAAATCCCCAGAGCCAGTCCTCAGTACTGCTGTTTACTAGCTGTTTAACCTTCATCAACTTATTTAACATTTTTGTGCCACAGAATCTTGATGTGTAAATAGGGGTAATAAAAATACCCACACCATGAGATTGTTGTGACTGTTAAAAGTCTATTCAAATAAAATACATGAAACTGTATCTGGCATATTATAAAAGCTTACAAAAATATTTTGGATTATGATTATTAGAATAATTTGAAGACTAGAATTTCCTAAGAACATAGCTTTTATTTCAGCTAGTCATTTTAAATTTTTTTATTTGCAAAGAAGAGTATCACTATGTAGCTTAAGCTGGCAACAGACTTACCCTCTAGTGTTAAAGTCAGGGTTCTTGCCTCCTAAGTGCTAGATTTCGACAGGTACAACTATGACTGGATCAGAGTTTAAAATGTTCAGGGCTAGGCATGTTGCTTAACGATAGAGCATATACTTGGTGCGCATGGAGCCTGGGTTCAGTGCCAGGCTCTAAGAAGGAAAGGAAGGAAGCTGGTAGATAGGACTTTCCCAGCAGTGTGCACCATGCAGTCAAGAAACTGCAGTTTGCTCATCTGCCAGGCTGCCTGGTGTGGTCATTTAGTACTCAGGCCAGCCGCTCCTATGGGTTTGCCTAGTAGGAATGTTCCGTAAGAGAAATGACCTTTGAACTTGGCATCTTTCATTCAGGACAGTGCATTTGAGAATAAGTCAGGATGCCTGTGTTAGGTATATGTCTTCATTGTTGATTAGTCATTCAGAATCTATGCACCCGCCTAACTATGACAGGTTAGTTCTAGTTTTGTGCAAGTATAAGAAATGGTGCTATAAAGAATTATGTAGAACTTTTGCGGAAAGGTAACTTTGTTTGTACTTTGTTTGTACTGGTAGATTTTCTAGAATATATGCTGAGTGTCAGTGTAGGATTTTGTACAGCTGCCAAGCTGTTTTTCAGAGTTCTATACAATTTTGTGTTTCCACCCAAGGTATATGTTAGTTCAGATTGCTGCACATCTGTGCCAGCCATTGAAATTCTTTTTTTTTTTCAATATTTGCCTAATCTACATAAGAATGTAGCTGTTGACTTAATTGACCCCCATTTTAGGACTTGAATGAAGATACAGAAAAGGGCTATGAAATGCAGGCTGAGAAGAACACAAATAAGGAAGAACCCAGGGATCAGTACAGAGGAGAGTGGAACTTGTGTTTTGCAAGTATGAAGCCCTGCGTTCCGTGCCTAGATTTGTGAGACCTTTGACTAGCCCATGACTGTTTATTGTTTCATAAAGATGAATAAATGTTGAAGTAACTTGAGATTAGGGTTGATCTATAAAATTCCATTGTAGTCATGTGATAGATCCCTTTTAATATAAGTTTGTCTTTTGTTATATACATGGTTAATGGTTCATATTGGTCTCTGATTCTCAGCTGTGTAGTAGAGGGAGGTGGATTATGCAGTGGAGTGTGCACGAGGCAGGACTGGATGCTTTGAGTTTTATTAGGAAAGCGGTTCTAGCCTCCATGGGGCTTAGACTCATTTCTGTACATTTGATGGTAGCTAGGCCATTCAACAATATTTTTTCTTATAATCACACCACACCAGACATTGGTATGAAGAAGGATGCAGGAGTTTTTAAAGATGAGGCTATTGCCTCTTGTGGAAAACAATGTAAAGAGTAGCTCTGCCAAGGAGATCAGGAACAAGTGACCAGAGCTGGCTGGTGGATGACCTGAAGCAAACAGTTAGGAAAAGGTAGATAGAGGGTTTTTAGATAGAATAGAAATGAAGCATTGTGTAGGTGGTGGTGATAGTTTGTGTATGCATAAGAAGCAGGTCTAAAATACTGAATATAAAGCCTATGTTCCTTTTTTTTTTCTTTCTGTTGAGAAGCTTTAAGTTGAAGACTGGGGAGAAGCTGCTGTTGACATTGTCAATGGTGAGCAGCTCAGAAAGCAGCAGAGAGTGTGTGGGAGCACAGGGCTCTGTCCAGTGTGATCTGGGGCGTGGCCACTGCTTCAGGCATGCTCACTCCTCCATTCCCTCTCCTTATTCCTGCTTTTACTACTTTGTAGGACTTCGTATATATACCATCAGATATTGGTAGAAATTTTAAAACTACACCTGGTGCTAACTTAAACTTCAATTTAGGTTATAAAATCAGATATTAGAGTTTCATTTTCAACGGTGTTTCCAAGCATTTGTTTCAAAATATCCATGCTCGATTTTGGCTTCAAGTACCCCTAAAGTGTCTGGGCCAGCTGACTTACTCTAGCTCATAAAGAGCTAGGCTAAGACCAGGTGCCCAGAAGTGTGATTTTAGGGTCTGTTGTAAAAAACAAACACTTCCAGATTCTATTCTTTGAATTTTACTGTCCTCTGTGAAACCACTGTTGCTTTTAGTGGTGCGCACCCATACAAAGCAGTCCTGCAGAGTTTGTCTCACCATTATTTCTGCTTTTAGATAGAAAACAATGCCTGGAGTAGTAACTCATGGAAGAAAAAAAGAAAAACCCTTTAATGCCAACTTCTTTTTTTCGTTCTTTCTTTTTTTTTTTTTTTTGGTTTTTCGAGACAGGGTTTCTCTGTGTAGTTCTGGCTGTCCTGGAACTCACTCTGTAGACCAGGCTGGCCTCGAACTCAGAAATCCGCCTGCCTGTGCCTCCCACGTGCTGGGATTAAAGGTGTGCGCCACCACCACCCAGCTAATGCCAACTTCTTATACCAGAGTTTTCTGGAGAATAGATGTTTAGGTATTTCTTTAAAGAGTATCAATTTCTAGGGTACTGGCAACTTGTTAGGCTTATAGCCAGGGAATCTGCTGGCCTTCATCAGTTATTCAGTAACCTTGTCTTTAAAGATTATTTTACACATAATTGTGATGAAATTGGAGTTGCAAATGCATAGTAATAAAATATATTCTTTATTTTTGTTTTATTTTTCAGAATCATGGTGTCATGGAAGGGGATTTACTTTATAGTCTTCCTGTTTGCAGGAAGCTTTTTTGGAAGTATTTTTATGCTCGGTCCCATTTTACCTTTGATGTTAATAAACCTGTCATGGTATCGCTGGATTAGCAGCCGTCTTGTGGCTATGTGGCTCACGCTTCCTGTGGTAAGTTACCCAGCAGAGAGAGGTCTGTCTGCTTGCACTGGGGTGGCCTGTCTCTTGAACTTTGTTAGCATCAGAGATCTGGGTTTCAGGAGAAACAGAAATCTTCTGTGTTCTGTTGTAAGCATGCCAGATGTGAGAAAGAAGTCAAATAGAAAATAGAATACTCATATCCTTAAAGCAGCAAACCCTTACAGAAAATAAGAACTTCTTTCTATGTTCTTCATGTAATTTCTTCTATATTTCATATAATGAAAGGTATAATTTATATCTAAAAGTATGTACATTTTAAAGATTGCACAATTTTTACATTATTAAAATTTATTCTGCATATCCATTTTGTGTTTTACAAATCAGTGATACCTATTAAGATTCTATGGGGTCAGGGAAAGAATATCAACAGATTGTATGAACAAAATTTTAGGTGATAATGTAAGCTACCCCATGAAGCTTCTCACAGTAAACATCTTTCTAAACTGCCCACAGAGATGTGTTTCAGTTCTTTCCAGTAATTACAAAATTAGGAATATATAAAAGACATGTGACTTCTTTGTGCAGATGAGGTGAAGAGTGTGCGTAAGATCAGAGTACACGCGGTGCTCAGTAGTCATGGGGCACGTAGCACTCCATAAGGTCGTCATGTTGCTCTGAGAGCATCTCCTGATCTTGAGTTGATGACTGTTGGTTTCCAGTCCTGGCTCCTCCCTCTTCTGGCACTGGGAAGAGGCTGCTGCCAATCAGTGGGCAGTGTGTGCTTGTCTTTCCCTCTGGTAGTTAGTCACTTGGGGATTGTTCCAGTCCTTTCTCTGTAGCAGCAGCGAATTTTTCTTTCCGCTCAGGCTGTTTGGTTTATCAGTCTGTCTTTATCAGGGAGGCCATGTGTATAGCGTCTGAAAAAGAAACAAGAGAAAAAAACAGTCTTCTCTAATTAGTAAAGGACCCTTTCCATCCTGCTTCATCAACATACATGAGGCAGCAGGCAGAGCACCTGCCCACAGGTGAAAGGATAGATAGTTCTTAAAAAGTTTCCTAATAACAGCCGTGTGTGTGCGCAAGTGCGTGCGTGCGTGCGTGCGTGCGTGCGTGCGTGCGTGCGTGTGTGTGTGTGTTGTGTGTGTGTGTGTGTGGTGGCGGCGGTGGCGGCGGCTCACACCTTTAATCTCAGTACTCGAAGAGGGAGGTGGATCTCTGAGTCTGCTGCTAGTCTGGACTACAGAGTGAGTTCTAGGACTACACAGAGAAACCCTGTCTTGGGGTTGGGGTGGGAGGGTTTCCTTAAATCGTTTACAGTGTATTTTTCCTATTTAAAAATGAATAGTGGGTCCTGTAGTGAGTGATTTTAAACTTGTATCCATCACTTCTAAAAGATATCCTTCCTCTCAAAGTTACTTGTGTTTTAAAATTTCTATACAGATGTGTCTGTTTTATAAATGCAGTACTGGTCCTCCCAGCTTCTCATCCTCTTTGCCAAACTTCTTTCTCTTTTATCACTTATTCTTATTCTTATTCTATGATGAAATACTTTGATATCAGATTCTGACATCTTCTACATCTTGGATCTCCACAGACACTTAGACTCACTTTCTGCTGCTCACCCAGGAACACCTTGCAGGGTGTCTGCCCTGCCACACATTGCCTGGTCTCAGCTACTCTCTGAAGTGGATTCTAGGACCTCTTCATTCTTACATCTATTATGCCAGCAAAGCCAGTAACATGTGGACAGTGCTGTCACATTCTTCTACCAGCTGGAGATGTGACCAGGTCCCCTTGGAGCACTGCTGTCAGCTTCTATGTGTTTATATTGGAGAACACTTTCCCAGACAGTTGCTTTCAAGGCAAGGGGAATACCCTCAGCTCCATTTCCTGATTAGGCTCTCATTTCAAGTAAAATTTCGTTTTCACAAGTTGGGTAAAGTCTTCTCTATAGGTACATTTCCTGTTGCTCCAGTGTACAGATAGGTGGTTCTGTGGTGTAAAGATGAACTTTTTTGAGTTTGTTGCTCCTCAATAAACTACACTTCCTTTTAAGTCTCCCCCCTTCCCCCAGGATTTGTCTCTGTTACCCTGGCTGTCCTGGAACTAGCTCTGTTGACCTCAAACTTCTCTGCCTTTACCTCTGTCTCTGCCTCCCCAGTGCTAGGATTAAAGATGTGGGCTACTGCTACCTGGCCTTTTCCTTTTTTTCTTCTTTTTAGCTATAAGCCGGTAAATCTAATAAAAAGTAGCCATGCCACAGAGTCAAATTCTCTCTTGTCTGAGAATTTCCTCTGCCACACAAAGTAGTGATTAGCTTAAATTCATTCACTTCACCAGTGTTCTCAGGACACAGGCAGAAAGAACAAAGCCAGATTCTCGGATGGAATTATGAACAGGACAGATGAGGAGATCACATTGTGGCGGTGACAGTCCATTACCTAAACATCCTCTTCAGATGTGAGCTTATTCACCCTGTCTTTTCTGCTTTTCATATGAATGAAAACCTTTTTTTAAAAAAAAATACAATAGAAGTTGACTGTTACTGTTATATCAGAAAAACAGAGATCCACTTACCTCTGCCTCACAAGCCCTGGGGTTAAAGGCCACCATGACCAGCCCATAGAGCTTTTAGTTTTTAAACAGAAAAAAAAAAAAAACATTGAAAAGTACTTGAATGAATAATTTCTGGGGTGTGTGTGTGAGAGAGAGAGAGAGTATGTGTGGTGTGTGTGCACAGAAGAGCATGTCCTGTAATAATTTCCTCTATTGCTGTTCACTTATTCCTTAAGTTAGGGTTTCCCAGACTAGAAGACAGCAAGTTCCCACAGCCTTCCATGGACATTGGGGAGACTGCAGCTGTGAAGCAGGTCAGGCAACAGCATGGCCAGCCCTAGTAGTCACCAGGGAACTACCTAGTTAGGTAGCTCTACCTAACCATCCAACCCAACTGTCCTCTTTTGGGAAGAAGTAGCCATGGAAAGTAACTTTCCCCTAAAGTATCCTGCTTTTGTAGAAAGCTTTATATGTGGATATTCAAATCTGTGATTTGCTTTTGCTCGTCTTTCAATACCATGTTTGTGTTTCATTCTACCACACATGCTCACATAGCTCATTCACTGTCAGTGTTGAATTATTTCATGATATTTAAGGGGCTGGGTTTTCTTTAAATCCCCTTTGATCAAGCCTTTCTCAATCAGTTATAGAATGAAGTAGGAATTACATGTAAATGGCTTGAGGTTGGACATAGGGTCTGCTGTAGTCTTGGCTGCTTGGGAGGCTGTGATAGGAGTTTGAGCCTAGATCCTGGGCATCATAAAGAAGGAGAAACGAAAGAGGAACGTGCTGGCTCACTTTGTAAGAGCTCTAGTCTGTAATACATACTTTCCTTCAGAATATTTAATATAAATTATAATCATGGACCTTAGAAATGTTAATTTAACAAACTGGGCAAGTATTTCAGCATTCATTTGTGTCAGGCATTCGCTGGAAGATTTTGGTAGACAGTTACTTTAGTCTTCATGTATTATTCTTTGAGTAACTCATCTTGCAGAAAAAAATAAACTTAGAGCTAGGTTTGGTGGTGCACATCTTTAATCCCAGCACTTAGGAGGCAGAGGCAGGTGGATCTCTGTGAATTTGAGGCCAGCCTGGTCTACAAAGTAAGTTCCAGGACAGCCAGGGCTACACAGAGAAACTCTGTCTCAAAAAACAAAAATAACAACAAAAGAAAGAAATTTAACTTCTTCAGTCCTACATCCAGTTTTATTTCTGATTCTTTCTAGAAAAATTGGGTAATAATCATGCCATTATATCCTTAAAATTGTCCAGTAGAATCTTCATACTCTTAATATATAATTGAATTTGAAAGGTAGTTTGTATTTTTTTATCCTTTTTTTCTTTTCTTTTTCTTTTTTTTTTTCTTTTTTTGGTTTTTCAAGACAGGGTTTCTCTGTGAACTCGCTCTGTAGACCAGGATGGCCTCGAACTCAGAAATCCCTTCCCTCTGTCTCTGCCTCCCAAGTGCTGGGATTAAAGGCGTACGACACCACTGCCTGGCAGTATTTTTTTTTAATCAAGAAACTTCCAGAAATTAAAATTAATGGAAGAGATTGGAAGTGTTGAAAGCACTTCCTAGTTTCACCCCAGATCAGAGCATCCCCTGTTTATTACAGAAACAAGAGTATGGGAAACTATGTGTTATATGTTAGAAATCATAGGGCATATGACATGATAAAATTTACCTATGGAAAACTTTGAAAAGCAACTCATTATTTACTCTGGACTCAGTTTTGCTTTTTCAAGGCAATTTATTTGTTTAGTTATTTTTAAGTGTCATCCTTTTTTGGTATTATAAGGCAGTATAGCATAGCTGTGACAAGGTTAGCAAGAAGGAAGGTCAATAACTCTTAAATTCTGTCTTCATTTCCTTTTAATATAGTGAATATCTAATAAAGTCATAAGCATGGTTGTGACTAATTTCTTTTTTTTTTTTTAAAGTTATTTATTTTATGCATGTGAGTACACTGTAGCTGTTTTCAGACACACAAGAAGAGGGCATCAGATCCCATTACAGATGGTTGTGAGCCACCATGTGGTTGCTGGGAATTGAACTCAGGACCTCTGGAAGAACAGTCAGCGCTCTTAACCGCTGAGCCATCTCTCCAGTCCGGTTGTGACTAATTTCATATGTGGCTCCTTAACTTGAAAGCCCTAGATAAGTTGCTCGATATTTGTGTTTTTTATTTTTTTGTAGGCATTGTTGGAGACCATGTTTGGTGTCAAAGTAGTTATAACAGGAGATGCATTTGTACCTGGAGAAAGGAGTGTCATTATCATGAACCACCGGACAAGAGTGGACTGGATGTTCCTGTGGAACTGTCTAATGAGGTACAGCTACCTCAGACTGGAGAAGATTTGCCTCAAATCCAGTCTAAAAAGTGTTCCTGGATTTGGTACGTTAATCATGGTTTTTTAAGTGCTTAACTCATTTTGTATGCAGTGTGCCTACTCTAAGAACAAAATGAGGTAAGTTGAACGGTATGTTATTCTCAGCTTTTCTCATGAAGCTAAAAACATTTCCAGTTTCTTTTTATGTTTAATGGCTTTGTTATGTGATTTTATCTTAATCTCTGTTTTAAAAATATCTTACTCTAGAAGAGAAAAACTCGTATCATTTCTTAACCATTTGCAGGATGTGAAGGATTGGTAGCTTGCCGTCTTGAAGACAAGCCCATAGGGTATTCCTACAGCTACAGGCTTGATCTCGCCTCTCTCCTTAAAGCCCTGTCCTGGATTTCTCTCTTAGTTTCTGATACAGCTCCCTACTCTCATTTATAATCTGTTTCCACTTTTTGACTTGCCACCTTCTACTTTTTGTGTCTTTCCTTTTTTGTGTGTGACCAAATATAAAAATCATTTACAGAAGCATAGGTGAGAGTTTGCTCACAAGCGTGTAGATACTTTACAGTGGCCGCACCACTGAAAAGTATGCCTGGTCTTCCAACTGTCCAACTGTTAGCGCCCATAAATTCCCAAGAGGGGATGGAGTCCATGAGGCCCTCCCTTTCTGTCACAGGGTGTTACTGAGTACTGTAGCCATGCCATTCCAGAAGGTAGGGAGGGGTTCACAGGGCTCAGGCCCTTCTTGTTGCTTTTTCATGGTATTCCCTGAGCCTTGGAGGGGCAATAATATAAGGTGGCAAGTGTCTAGATATTCAGGAGTCATTCCCAGTTATGAGTTCCTGCAGTTGCCATGGCTCTTCTGACATCTACATAAATATAGTTACTTACAAGACAGTGTAAAGACACATCATATCCATTTAGTGAGACAGCAGCAGTAAGACAGCAGTGGCTTCCTCACGATGCTCTGGGACCTCCCACTCACGGGCTTTGGAATAGCTACAGTACTAGATACACATTTCTTCTTGGAGCAGTCATCAAATCAAGGCACACTATAGCACATGTGAGGTTTTACACACACACACACACACACACACACACACACACACACACACACACACACACTTCGAGCTTGGTTTCTTTGTCCTGTGATCAATGTGTACAGCATCCTCAGCAATAGAATCTCGCCATCTGGTTCTAGAGAAGAACCAGTTGACTGGCATCTGCCTGTATCTATTGGGAGTTTGAGTGGACTAAAAACTCAAGGGAGATAGTCTGTTCCTTGTCCTGGGGTTTTTGTTTAATAACCTGTGGCTTCTGGAAGCTAAATAGCTTATACACACAGGGTAGATTCATTTCAAACAATTTAAAAAATGTTCTGATTAGCTTATTGGCTATCAGAATTCCTTCTGTTTTTTTCTTCCCTCCACACATTGTAAGTATTGGTTGCCCTCCTCTCCACTTCTCCTCTCTTCTTGCCTTCAGTCTTTCTACTTCCTGTGTTTCTGCCTCCTGCTCTCTTACCACATGCATTCTGCTACACAGCTGCTTCACTTTAAAGAATCGTTAGTTTTCTGGATTCCTGACCTATTTCTTCTTCATAAATGCACATGTATATAAAATAAAAGCTAAGTTTGCATATGAGAACATGTAGTGTTTGTCTGTGATCCTGGGTTACCTCACTTAATACATTATTTTCCAGTATTATTTTCCTCCATTAATACATCCATTTTCATAATTTCATTTTTCTTTTGACTGAATAAAATTCTATTGTGTAATGACTATACTTTTTCTACTTGTTCATCAGTTGCTGTCTCTTTGCTATTGTGAACAAAGTAGCAGGAACATGGACGCACAAGGCTGTGTGTGGGACATGGAGTCCTATAGCAGTGTGCCTGGAGTGCTGTATCTGGGACTGTTAGGTGCTTTAGAAACCTCCGCAGTGATTTATCTGGTGGTTACAGTCCACAGTGGTGAATGACATCGCCCTTTCTGGGCATCCTCACTGGTATCTGTTGTCATTTGTCTTCTTGATAATAGCCATTCTGGCTAGAATGAGATGGACTCTCAAAGTAGTTTTAACTTCCATTTATTTGGGTAAGGACAGTGAAAGTTGAATCATTTTCTTCCTTGTTTTGTTTTTCTAAGGGCCTTCGTGTCTTTTATATACCCTCCCCTATCGGGAGGAGCGTATGAGGATTTCTCCCATGTAGGCAGTCTCCTCACTCAGTTAACTGTGTCATTGTAGTACACAACCTTTTAATTTCATGATTTCCTACCTTCCTGTTAGCTTAGATTGTTGCTCTTATTTTGTGAGGGGCCGAGTCTTATTGAGAAAATGTTTACCTATGCCCATATCTTGAAGTGTTCTCTCTGCTTTTCCTTAAACAGTTTGAGAGTTCAGATCTTACGTTGAGGTTTTTCTATTTGGAGTTGTTTGCCCAGGTGGAAGATAAGAAAATGGAGCATTATTACTGTACTTGTAGACGAGGCTTGTCCAGCACACTTGTTTCCCAGTATGTATTTAAGTGGCTGTAGCTGTGAGGGCATGTTCCTGGGTTCTCTGTTCTTTTCCACTGATGTACGTGTCCGGTTTTTTTTTGTGCCAGTGCCATGCGGCTTTTGTTGCTGTGGCTTAGTAGTATAAATTAAAATCAGATGATTGTTCCTGTATCATTGTTTCTGCCCAGGATTGCTTTGAGTTAGGAGTGTTTTGTGCTTCTAAAATTTGAATTTTAAGACCCATTCCCCCCATTTCTGTGAAAAGTGGAGCTGGAATTTTGATAGAGATTTTATTTAATCCATAGATTGCTTTTGGCAGAACAGCTGTTTTTACAGTTAATTCTTCTGACCCATGAGCATGGGGGAGCTTTTCAATCTGCTAGTGTTCTCTTCGGTTTTGCTTCTGTGTTCTATACTTTTGACATAGAGACTTTTTACTTCCTTAGCTAGCTTTAGTCCAAGATTTCTTTCTTTCTTTCTCTCTCTCTCTTTATCTCTCTCTCTTTTTTTTTTTTTGAGTTTGTTATGAATAGGATTCTTTCTTTGCACTTGTGTCATTGGTTCATATGAAAAGCTACTGATTTTTATATGTTGATAGCACATCCTGCTGCTGCACTGAGAGTTATATGTCAGCTTTGTTTTCTGGTGAAATCCTTAGGGCTCTGACGTATGGCATCATGTGTACATAGGGATGCCTTAACTTTTTAGCTAGATTGGGTTTTTTTTTTAGTCTTTTTTAAAAATTGGGATATTATAATTAGTTTAGTCTTGTTATTTATCATAGATATGTAGAGAACAGATAAAACACTCAGCACTATAAAATGGATTAAATATGATGCTAGTATTTGAACAAAACACTTTGAATGAGAAATACAAAGGATGGTAGTTGATAGGGAAGTAAGATGAAACGTAATGAAAAATCCATTAAATTAAAGAAGAACATAGAGGAAAAAGAAAACCATGCCAGGGAGTAGAGTGATAAGAAGGAAAATGGAGAGAACCAAAATGACGGCCCAGCGATGCCAGGGGCACGATCGCGTATTGCTGGGCTGAACAGCAGCCATCAGAAGATCCAGTGCTCTCACATCTCACCGTTTTTAATTAGGTTTTTTTTTTTTCTACTTTATGTGCATTGGTCTTTTGCTTGCATGTATGTGTGAAGGTGTTTGAGTCTCCCTATAACTGGAGTTACAGACAGTGACTACCATGTGGGTGCTGGGAATTGAGACCAGATCCTCTGAAAGAAGAGCCAGTGTTTTTAAATGCCAAGCTATCTCTCCAACCCTCAATGTTTTTAAATACTAACATGATGCTGCAAAAAAAAAAAAACATTTATTGCTGACCTCACACGGTTAGTGGCATCAAAATGTATGAGATTAATACAACTGTTGTTTTAGATCATTTCAGACTTTGAGTATAAGATTTATATGAACATCAAGTGAATTTAGACTTGGCTTGCATTATGTGTATGAAACACTTCTACAAAAAAAAAAAAATCAACAAAATAAAAACACTTCTGGTGCCAAGCATGTAGGACAAAGAGCACTTAGCTTGTACATGAGGTTCTTAGGGAAAGAAAGACAGTATGACTTTATTTCAAAGGTAATTTTTAATAGATAACAAAAGAAAAACTGCAAAACAATAGAAGAACTGGGAGGGACTTAACAGTGTGCACAATAGACCTGATCCCTGGAGTACATGGTGCATATTGTGAACCTAGTCACCACTGGAAGTCTCAATCCATGGCAAATCCAGAAACATTTCTTGTTTTCCTTTCCATTCCCGGCCCCGTCAATGACACTACTACTGCAGACCAGCACATGGCTCCACACATCCTCACACCTCGTAGTCCATTCTTTGGAGCTTGGGATCACAGAGTCCACCATGCCATGCTGATAACCTTGAATTTGTAACTTAGATGCAGCCCAGCCAAGTCTGTTTGTATACTGTTTAAAAGACTTGGCTTTATGTGTCAGGGCAACGGAAAGAAAAACCACAAGAACCAAAATGAGTGGCGAGGTCTGCACAGAGGAGGGCATGGCAGCTAGGATGTAATATCCTGGGCTTAGAGCCAGCTGTGGGGCCAGACGTACTTTATGTGTGAGATTTAAGCCTAGTTTGTTTAGGTCTGGACTTGTAGCTGGCTCTTTTGTTGCTAACAGTCATAAACATTGTGGATAATGTACTTCCCACCATTTCTCCAAACTGTGAAATGTACATTGGTGGGTTAACTGCTTGTCATGAGTTGAGTTTTAAAAAAAAAAAAAACAAAAAACTGTCAAATGAAGTATGTTGAGCAGTTTTATTGCCTAGAGGACACATACAACAGATGATTTCATACCAGCAATTCTGTTGGTCAGAATTAGTCTTCTAACAGTTGATTCTGGAGTTTGCTTGCTGGAATTGCTTGGCAGAGATGAATTTTATTTTTGGGTGTGTGTGTGTGAGAGAGAGAGAGAAGGGGGAGGTACCTTGGGGAAGAAAGGTTTAGTTAGTTAAATTACATGCTAGGCTAAGAGTATATCATGACTACACATTCTGGAATTACATT